GGGACACAGCCCATCATGCCAGGAGGATCTACCGCTGGCACCAGCTTCCTCCCTTTCTAACATTCCAGAGAAATACAGGAGTCTCAGAATTTCTGTTCTAGGAAATCCTGGCAGAGAGACCAGAGCTCCAAGGCCTTTACTCTGCCAGCTTACATCGTGTGTGTGTGTTTGTGTGTGTGTGTACATACACTGTGGTCTTCTTCTTTTGAAGTCTGCGGACCCCTTCTCTTAGTCACTGATGGTTTAAATACACAAAAGATAAAACAAGTAAGAAGTCTGTGATATTCAAGCACAAAAAATTTTTAAATACATTTGTGATCTAGTAAGTTTTGTTTCTGAAGTAATGTTTTAAGTTGCAAGATCTTGCATCATATTTAAAACATTGAACTGTCTCAGTAATGAGCATAAATGAAGCTCCAACCCATCTCCCTCAAACCTAACATGACAAGAAAGTATCTGTGGGCTTCTACTGGTGGCAAAGTCAAAGATAGAATACTAAGAAATGTTAAATTTTATTAAAGGTTAGAGAAAAGCAAAAGATGTGATTATTGCTCATTTAAATTCCCAGACCAGGCCCTCTCTGGTGGCGCAGTGGGTTAAAATGCAGTACTACGAAGCTATCCATAGCCATTGCAGCATGAGTTTGATCCCCGGCCAGGGAGCTGACCCACATGGCTCAGCAGACTTCTCCTGTCTCGCCCGCTGCTCCCTTCCACAGTGTATTTCTGTCATCCTGCCTGTTCTGTTGCCCACTCTGCCTCTGGTGAATCCTCTCACCCCCATCTCACACCTCTGGCCTATACCCCAGCTCTGTATGCATAAATAAATCTTAAAAAAGAAAAAAAAAATTCCCAGAGCTCCGAATTTTATCCATGGAGCCCAAGCTAGAAACTTCTGCTATCATAGTGTAGAGCCTCTTTTGTTATGAACCTTGAAGAAAACCTTCCTTTATTTGTAAAAGTCCCCAGCACTGTATCTGGCACCATGTTTCATATCAGCAGTGTAACATGAGCGTCACATGAGTCACCAATGACCTCTGTCCCCAAAGGGCAGTTCACAGAAGTTTCCAACAATTACATTTTGAGCCCCCTATATTCTTGGCCCTGGGATAGGATCTGCAAAGAAAAAGATTTTAGGGTTTTTCCTCATTTGAGACTTTTTCTTTCCAGACAGAAAAAAAAAAGACCTTATTTGTAAGGATGTTACTCAACAAGGGTTCTTAGTTAAGAATCCAGCAGAATATTCTACATACTCAAAGCATGCCCCTTCAGAAGCATTATCCAAGCATTGCTGACAGCACTTCATGGGCAGCTGTCCAGTCACTTAGTCCAGCATCCAATAAGAAAGCCACCCTATCAAATTGGGAAAGTTATTCTTAATTGACGCTCCCAGTATGAAGTGCAGAGACAGTTGAAAGAGGGGACCCTCCCCAGTCATACACAATTTACTTAAAGTATTAGCTTGGTTATTGTCTAAGTGTATGAACTAGGGAAATTATTTAAACTTCTGACATTGGCTTTCTGTAAAAGTGGCTATTCATAAAAACACCATCTGCCTCATGGGAGTTATCAATTAAATGTAAAGATTACATAGAACTGTGCACAACCAGATAGATACTAGGTGTTCAATTTATGAGTGTCCCTATAACGGGGCACTGGTGTAAACAAATCCTTCCTGCTGTTCTTTGATTAAAGGAAGAGCTAGCTTGTACCTATAACTATAGCTGCTGGCTTTTCTAGAAGCAGCTGAAGGGTTAACCCTGCCTGAGTGTGTGGGTGACTTCTGTTTAGATAAAGCCACATCCCAAAGCTTCCTTTCAGCCAGTCTCGCTATTGTTCAGGTTTTTCACCATCTCTTTGAAGTTTCAAGATTGACAGATGCTATTCAGTATCCTCCCCACCAAATTACTACATGTAGGATTTCAAAAAGAAATCACAGGAAATTTGGGGGGAAAGAAAACTTCAGTTTCTAAATTTCAGGGGATTTTTGATTTTCACATATCATTTAACCAAAAATGAAGTTTCACATATAACCAGGATTTAAAACCACCAGAACTATAAATGCACATGTATTTGGATGTTATGCTCTCTTTAAGGAAATGGAGATGTAGCTAAGTAATCACGCAGTTACTGCTTTAAGTTTCTCTAATTGTGATTATATGTGAAAGAGAATATTCACACTGGATCAAAATGTAGTGTCTCCAAATTCTGGCGATATAGCTAAAAGGTTATAAAAATAACACCTCTTACAGGGTCTGCAAGCTTTTTCTATAAAGGATCAGGTAGTAAATATTTCAGGCTTTCTGGGCCAGTTATGATCTCTGCTGCATAAACTTCTTCCTTTCTTCTTTTCTGTTTTAAAGCAGCTCTTTAAAGTTGAAAAGTCAGGCAGGTGTTGTGTGTCCTGTGATGAAAACAGGTCTGCTTTCACCCATTTATGTTATGTTATGGGCGTAACAGCCAGTAGAGAATGAGACCAGTCAATGATTATGAGACATTTCACTGACCAGTTGGACACTTGAAACAAACACATTCATTGGATACTTTAGATAACAGAGGTGGGGCTGCAGGGAGGGGTTGCTGTTTCTCTTCTTGCACCTGCTTATTATTTCATGGGCCCCTGAGTCCTGCTCTCCTGGCTTCTACTTTGCTGAGTAACAAGGACTGACCATCCTTCCCCACAAGGCCTTTTATTGTCCAGTTTGCAGTTCTGGTGCTTTCTCTACTGCTGTGTTCCACTACTTCTGCTCCTTGCCTTTTTGTCCTTTGTTCTATTATCATCTCTCCAGGGTGAGTAAATTTCCATTTTCAAGAGCCCATCACCTAATGACATACCTTCCTTCTTATTAGTGTATATATTACTGTATCTTTCCCAAAAATATTGCTTTTTTTTCTTCTTGGTTGCTGAAATTCTCATTTTACTGGTCACTTTTCCAATCTGTAATGACATCCAAGAGGCCTAAGGGTTTTGTTTGTTTGTTTTTCTCTCTAGTAGTAAATGCAAGTTGGTATTTCCACTTAGAATTTAATACTGAAGCATAAGAAATGAAACACTCCAAACTGTCATGGCACTAACTTCAGTTTTCACTGTGCTTTAAGTAAGGGCATCCAAGATAATGTACTGATTTTGAGATTATGATTACCTTCTTTGCACCTGCATTGTATTCTAATCAATTTGAGGTAGGGGGTTCTAACACCTTTAATTGTAAAAACTGCTCATTGAGTACATACAGTTTCCTTCTCTGACATGGTAACAGCTACACAACCTTGTTCCTTTCTGTTCCTTTGTATAGAGTTGTCAGCTTGGGAGAATTGTTCTTCCTTAAATAGATCATAGTTACTTCTTCCCTGCTCCATCCATTTATTGAGAAGTAACTTTGTATTACAACTTTACATGAATTTAGGCATTCATCCTTGAGAATCAGCATGTGTAACTTACTATATCATCTTGTTCTTAACAGAACATTCCTTTTTCCTACTCTTCATTGACCAATAGATGGTTAACGCCATTGACCAATGCCAGTCCTTGTCAAGTTGTCTTTCCCGATGCTCCACCATCACAGAGATTACAGACATTTAACTGGCTCAATTCTGGGGACTTCTATTCAATGCCAGGAGACTGGCATATATTACCAGGCATTTCTATATAAACCCAAATTCCTCTTTGAGGACAGTGCCTTACCCATAGCAGCCACTTAGTAGTGCCACTTAAAGCATCTGAGCTTGAGAACTGCTCATTAATGAACATCTTTGAGGAAAGGCCCATGAGGTATAAAGCAATAGGATTCTGGCATTTTTGCCCAATGGAGAGAGTTTAGCACAGAAAAGCATCTGAGCTTGAGAACTGTTCATTAATGAACACCTTTGAGGAAAGGTCCATGAGGTATAAAGCAATAGGATTCTGGCATTTTTGCTCAATGGAGAGAGTTTAGCACAAAGCTCCCAGTGAAATATAACTTCCTTTCACTGACCCCCCCCCCCGACTCAATGAAAAGTCCTGTCCATATCCTTCTTCTTCACAAAAGGAGACTATTTAACCAAAGCCAACATGAACCAAAGTTTAAAGTACAAGACACTAATTAAATAATTGGTGCTAAGGACTCTTGATCAGCCTCCAAACCGTCTGCATCAGAGAACTGGCTACATTTCCTTCTTTAACTTTCTTCACTTTCATACTTATATTTCTGTTGTGACTAAATATTCTTATTCAATGAAACTATAAATCACTTCCTGAAAAGAGCAATATTGGATGGATGTGGAGTAGGTAACTTTTAGAGAGGCCACTGCTATAAATTCTCCTCTCCCTCCCGGATAGACCCAGAGCTGATGTCCAAGGACAGCCTGCACATTGATCACAACAGGACAGATTGGAATGTAGAAAAGGATGAGACTGCAGGGGGACTGGGACCGTGGCAGGCACTTGCTCTTTCCTCACATACCATATGTGCAAGGTGTTGTCATTCCATGGTCCCAATGCCTCCTGCTGCTTTGAAGTTACTGAGCACCCTGTACATGCTTTATTCATTTCCTCAGCACTCACTGAAGACATGTCAGGTGCTGCTTATAGTAGTGAGGAGAAAGATGTGGGCCCGCCCAGCATGGAATTTTCAGTCTGCTGGGGCTGGGGGGAAAAAGACAAAGATCCATAGGAAACCAATGGTTGACATTATGTAATAGTTAAATTTTCTTTGTGTTAAATTGTTACGTAGAATGATGTGGAGGGCTATAGAATAAATCAACTATTTCCCCTAGTTTCCTTAGATTTCCTTTAGGGAGTGACATTGCAGTCGCAGTCTGAGGAGCCAGGAAATGGATGGCCAGAGGCAGGGAGACTGGACAAGTGCCCACTTGTCAGTTTCCTTTCCTGGCGTAAAAATTCACAGTTGATCATCCACATCTATTCAGAGGCTAAAACATATAGATGCCTGCCGTGTGGCCCCACTTCCGTGCAGTGCACACCTTCTGAACCAAATTTTTCTCTTTCTCGTTTTGTTTCCACAGGAGAGGATCCCACGAGCAACCCTGACTTGTGGCTAGTAATTTTCCAAGTCACCGGCGTCAGCCTCCTGCCGCCCCTGGGAATCACCATCGCGCTCATCGTGGCTTTCTACTGCTACCGCGTTCACCGGCAGCGGAAGCTGAGCCCCTCCTGGGAGACCAGCAAGCCGCGGAAGCACATGGAGTTCAGCGAGCATCTTGCCATTATCCTAGAAGACGACCGCTCGGACATTAGCTCCACATGCGCCAACAACATCAACCACAACACGGAGCTGCTGCCCATTGAACTGGACACCCTGGTGGGGAAAGGTCGCTTCGCAGAGGTCTACAAGGCCAAGCTCAAACAAAACACTTCTGAGCAGTTTGAGACTGTGGCGGTCAAGATCTTCCCTTACGAGGAGTACGCCTCCTGGAAGACAGAGAAGGACATCTTCTCGGACATCAACCTGAAGCACGAAAACATACTCCAGTTCCTGACGGCCGAGGAGCGGAAGACGGAGCTGGGGAAGCAGTATTGGCTCATCACCGCTTTCCACGCCAAGGGCAACCTTCAAGAGTACCTCACACGACACGTGATCAGCTGGGAGGACCTGCGCAAGCTGGGCAGCTCCCTGGCGCGGGGCATCGCGCACCTGCACAGTGACCACACCCTATGCGGGAGGCCAAAGATGCCCATCGTGCACCGTGACCTCAAGAGCTCCAATATCCTGGTGAAGAACGACCTGACATGCTGCCTATGTGACTTCGGGCTCTCCCTGCGTCTGGACCCGACTCTGTCAGTGGATGACCTGGCCAATAGTGGGCAGGTGAGTCCAACAGGGGTTGCCCCATCCTACCACTGATCCATCCTTATGCCTTTTGCCAATGGACCTACACCCTGGACACTTGCCAGAAAATTAGCCAATGCAAGGAGTGTGCCCTACATTGGTGCTGCCTCCAGTCGGGGTGCATAGATAATAGACCCCTTTTCTCCCCCTGATTTGTCTAATCCTTCCTTATTCAGCATAGATATTCTTCTTCTATCAGCCCTCCTTTCACTTCTGTTTGTACATTACTTGCTATAGACGCTGTACTTTATTTCCACCCACCCCTGCCACCACCACCTTTTATGGGCGTTCTCAGCACTCTTTATTTTGCTTTTTTTTTTCTTTTTTCTAACCATTCTAGAAGGCAGTCTCTTTGAAGCCCAGGTCCACCACATTTAGTCACATGTAACACAAAGCCTTAAGAGTGAACGTGATCAATATGTTTATTGTGTAATGAACTATTCCACTTTTGAAGCTTCTCAAAAATTAAAATAGAAACCCTTTAGCTATGAAGCTCTTGGAAAGTAGAAATTTCCATGCTACCCTTCATGAGTGAGATGTTTTCACATATTAGAAGGCTGGCTGTGCATTAGCATGGGTGTGGAGCATCCTGTGGCTCTCCTACCAAGTAGCAGGACGAGCTCTGAGCCTTGGGTCTCAGGCTGCATGAACACTATGGAGGTAAACATCTTGAAACATGTGCAGACTAATCCTCGAGGGTCATGAGTCATGCAATGACCTATTAAAGAAAATTTCTTCTGTTACGTGCTAATAAGAAGCATTCCTTGAGATGAGACTGTCAACTCACTTGACCTTCCTTAGATCTTTAGGAAGACAAGACAGCATTTATTTAGTCAAGTTATTCATGCTTAATATCAGCATTTTAAGTGATTCCCACCCTAGAAACTAGAAATATCTTCCCTTTTTTTCTCATGGATACCAGTGTTCTCATATTAATATTCATCATCAGAATGATGATACATCATGCCTATTAAGTTATAAAAAGGATCCAGATCTGGTCTTTTATGGTGGGAATACTTTCTTGCCATTTGATTTAGTAGAGATTTTATGAAATTGTACATCCTTGGCACACTAGAATGTGCCACGAGATAAGCATGGAAGCTTAAGAGACTTTTTTTAAATGACCAAGACTAATGGCAATTATTATTGCCGTTTTTCACCATAATTCTTGGAGTTTCAGAAATGAGAAGATAATTTCTTTTGCAAAGACAAAAAAATAAACATCTAAGTATCACTGTTATTGTATCCCAGGTTACATTGTTCTATGATATGATAATGTATATCATGGGGCTGAATAAGGCAGCTCTGGAGTCTGGCATTTCCTTTTGTCACCATGCTTTGTTTATGCTCTTTAAAGGGTTTTCTGGGAGAGAATGTCTATTTTTTAAAGTAATTACATGAGGTGTACCTTTCTGCACAGGTCTCATTATTTAAAAGAGCATTACACTTTTTAAAGGTCACTTGCATATGTTGGGGACCAACATCAACTGTATTTTGAAAATAAAAATGTAGCTGCACTTAAATGATGAATGTCAACGTCTGTTTTTGCTCTAGGTGGGAACTGCAAGATACATGGCCCCCGAAGTCCTCGAATCCAGGATGAATTTGGAGAATGTGGAGTCCTTCAAACAGACAGACGTCTACTCTATGGCTCTGGTGCTCTGGGAAATGACGTCTCGCTGCAATGCAGTGGGAGGT